TTACATTCAGCGGGGTGATGAACCAGCGGTCTCACGTGACAAGGGGGGAGGTGCGCTGAAAGCTGCGAGGACAGGGTTATTGGACGTGAATCAACACGATTCACTACAAGTATAGGCATTACATTCAAGACCATTTCGAAGCGCATTGAACACTTGAGCCCGTGAACGTTGGCGCTCCCGATTCCGGTCAATTGTCTCACCGTAGGCCGAACCTTGATTAATGCAAGTAGGTTGGACTGACTTATTACGGCAACATCAAGGTACAGTCATTTTTGAATTAAGCAATCATTTTCCTGGAAAATATTGCTGGTTTCTCATTTGCCGACCCTGCTCCAACGCCAGGCAAAGTGTCAATGCAACTTGAAAGAGCATCTCACACTCTGTTGAAACTTCTCAAATAAAAAAGCATTCTGCATACATGTTGATGAGTTCGCTTTTTTTAAATTGAACTCTGCACTAAGTTGAAGGTCGTCAGGTCACAAACCTGGTCCTAACGACACCCGTATCTGCTTTCTCGGTTGGTTTTTTTTTGATGTCTCAGAACACAAAGCCAAGCGATTCTTGATTAACTTGCTTAAATTTCGGAAATATCTTACAGAATGGAAGGTTGCAATAATGCCTAACCGATGCTTAATTTGGTTATCATTTTATTCGATCTAAGACTCTTGTTCTGGTACAGGAAGATCTTTCTCAAGGAACTCTACATGTAGAAGTTAGAAGGCCGTCTCGTGAAATTGAATGGTCATCCCTGTCTGTATTACACCGAACATCACCCGTGTACCCTTACGTCTGGGCCCAGGATGTCAGCAAACGGAACCCTTGTGGGTTTTGGTCTGTTTCCACTACCTCCGTTCATGTCGCTCTGGTTATTTGTGCTAGTTTGTAGTTAACTTTGATTGAAGCTAACTCACGAGTTGATCGGACTTCATTGGTTATTGATTGCAGTTGACGGTCGATATTTACCCATGCACTCTATCGCCTGTCTCTTCTCTCCTCTGGGCTTGCTACGGCCTATTTTTGTCAGAGTTGTAAGGTAGTGCAAGCAATCCACTACGGTGGGCTACTTCCAAGCTTCTATCTTTACAATATCTTAACATGACTTCAAAATAGGTCAGTAATTTTTGATAGGGAGGTTATATCAACCCTCTCCGCCTGTATTGTGCAGTCGGTTATGTAGAACTGTTGATTTGAATGCCTGTTTCAATTGGGTTCAAATGCTTTTAACCAAAGCCACCTACTTTGTTACTTAAGATGAATTACGTGGTTTGGTGCGACTCGACGAAATAGCCCTGTGAACTCCATTCTTGGAGTCAGTTTTAGTTCAAGTGCAGTTTTGAAAGGCTTTCAGGAAATGCTCGATTAAAACCCAGCTTAGATATACTGGATTGACCTTAAATGGACCTTTATAGGGCGGCCTGACCTACTTAAGTACCACCTGATTGTTTGAAACCACTAAGGCAACTATCACGCAGTTCACTTCACTTAGGTTGGTGAAACAGATGCTCAGCCGGGTAATATGTAATTGGCTTCCACGTTACTTTTCACAATTTAACTAAAATTCAGTACATAGTCAAGTCGCACCAACTTCACACACTCTAGCCACTGTACTTATATTCATCAAATAGCTAAGCCACTGGAGATCCTGTACCGGCATCTACTCTGATTTCACCGTTATTGAAGTAGTCGACTTTTCCCTATTGTTATTCGTCATTATCGGCGTATTTTGCTTACTAGAATCGCTTCCAGCCGTAGTGGAGCTTTTTGCATTCGTGCTTGAGAAATTTACATTTGTAATGTGTGCTCTTGGACTGTTTTTACTGACCCCAAACCCATTTGTTTGTGATTGATGGAGCTTGTTATGACCAGGATTCAATCAACAATGCAATACTTGTTCCTTGTTTACCGATGTAATCAGCCTACGCCTTGAAACTTTCAATCAACCAGACTTCTAGTTGTTGTTTTTTATCCATTTCAGCCATCAGAGGTCTCGGTATTTGAGGTCACGATCCGTTTTATCGGTGGCCTCCTCAGTATCTACTCGATGACAAAAAACCAGGTAAGTCTGCTCCCTCTTGTCGCCGATGGTTTTAGATGAAATCACATGTGTAAACTGAACAATTATTGTCTAATTTGTGATTATCGACTGCGACTTGATAACAAATGCTAATCGCCGTTGTTCAGCTACCAGGCAGTCAGTGTGTATGACTGTACATTCAAGTGAAGTGGGGAAATACCACCAGAAAATCCTTCAATTTATTTTGTTGACTATTCGTCATAGTCTACCTTTAGGCAAAATTCTGTTTGAACTTGAACACTTCCTTAAAAATACCTGAACCCAAAATTGATTTGCCTCACTTTACTGTTGATTGATTTCTGGATCCTATTCTGGTCACTTCAGATGATCTAAGTTATGCAACGCTAGCATGGCTAGTGGTCTTAAATTCGAATGTCTGAAACTTATAAATACCCCCACTCAGTGGCGTTCCCTGTGTGCTTTTCCATGCTGCTTGTTCACACAAAGTCAAATCGTCGATCCCATTTGGGGCCGTATTTTTACTGAATTATATTGTTGCGACGCCATATCCGACTAACTATCCAGCAAGGATGAAGTCTGCGGTAGGACAGAGAGTCAACTGCTTATTCGAGAACTTGACGAAGTCGTCGTCGTGTGTTGGGTTTGCGCGTGTGTATTTATACCTCTGATGTGTGAGTCATAGATGCGCTAACATCGAGACCTATGTGTGGGATATTCCAAGGTAAATATCTATGTGTAGAGTGGGGGAGTTGAGGATCCGCGCGGCTGGCGACATGCCGCGAAAAGGGGAACCCTGTGTCGGAGGCTGGAGAGACGGGATTAAGGAGTGTGAAGAAACACGGTTCACAACAGTACGAAGCTGTGTTGTATAGACAAGCGGTTTTATGCAAATCATTCAAATTGGCGCGTGGCGTGTGTACTTGTAATCTGATGATTTAGGACGGCGGACACGACTGACACCCCTCTTTGAAATCTTTGTTACAGTCCATCCCTCCTGTTTGTACATAACTGCTTCGTATTCTGTTAGTTCTCGGAACATCACATATGCACTTCAAATCTCTCGCAAGTGGAAATTGGTTAGGTCATGAGCTGAGGTTTTATTTTTTACCCATGTCAAGGCCGGTCTATGTATTATTATTCGTAAGGTGTTTTTCTTATACCTAGGTCTTTCTTGACCGAGTAGTATCTATAGCTGATAATCTACTACCCGCGTTTAATGAAAACACCGGCCTTCCGGGCTCTCTTCTCAACCTCAAAACGTGAGTTTTTACTCTTGTTATCTAAAACATACGCTAAATGAAAGTTAACGACATACCCTCTAAATCGTGATATCTGCCTTAATTTGCCGTAGCATTTTCACCCACTTAGAACACCTTCAACCCGTTCCAAATACCCTTGAAATTCCCCTTCACTGTGTAAGTACTGTGCGTATCAATGCCAGGCGCACTACGTACCAGGCCTCTTCAGCGCGTGCCTGAACACCCAGGCAATGATTCAAACCCCACCTTAGCCAAACCCCACCTCGCGTGTTCAACACGCATTCCGGGGTGTGGTTGTTGTGGTGTTTACGTGCTGTCATACATGAAAATGCGCCAGCCGCTGTAGGATCGAGCGGACCTAATGGGATCTCGATGCTGGTTCACGTGATGCTGTGTGCGTCCCTGAATCATCGTATTTCATCTTAGTGGTCAAGCAAGCCAGTGCATTTATAAATTAGGAACACTTTCGCAAATTTATGTGTGAACTTTACATTAGAAGCGAGTGTGGCGTCCTCTGGTGATGCGTGTGTCCTTCCGTGGGAATTGCATTATTTTCACACTACATTATCGAGTGCTAGCAAGAACAGCTGAGAAGCACACCAGTGATGGTGTGGCCTGAACAATGGTACTATTGATGGTACTATTGATGTGATTTCCTGCTTGAATCATCTCAATTTTGCCTATATTTAACAGTTGTCTCTTACACTAATTTATGTTATTAGACATTTTGGTAAGTACGGTTTCCTCATTTTGCTCTTAGCTTTTCTCGAATCATTAATGACCTAATCACATTCTACAGCCTCTTATTTTCACTTTTCTGTTAACAACTAGCAAAAAAGCGCGCAACTTCCACTGGGCAAGCAGTGGATGCCACATTCTCTCTGAAATCGGAACTCTACACATGGAATTTCAGTTCATCTCAGAACTAACTGGTGACCCCAAATACAGTAGATTGGTAGGTTTTGCCAAAGTTCTCAGACATGAAAACATGTCTGCCATTTTGCTCTTTGTCTATACGTTGTAATTCCATCCGGTAGTACATAAGTTCATCCTGTCTTTTGCTGTCCTGATAGTTGCTCAGGGAATTTCGCGTGTTCTCCATCACGGAACGAATTGCGTGTCGCTGAGTGCAGCCACCTCTGAGTTGGGCCACCGTCCAGGCAACAGCCTCTGAAACATGTTTGTCCGAGAGGCTGTTTCCTGCTGTGGGTTAGACATTACTTGGTTTTGCCCTGCACGGAAATCCTGTCCAAAATTCTCCGGTCATCCTGGTACAGCCTTCTCATGGTTTGGATCGTGATCGTGTTGGATTTAAACGCTGCTTTCTGCCTGAAGCTGATAATTACACTTTTTAACTGCTCTTATGACTTAAGCAGAAAAATAGCCGCTTCAATTTTAGTAGTAGTGAACTTCTTCTAAATGGGCTCCTTTTCACTTGGCCAGCAAACACTTTTCCTTCAGTGTATATTTTATGCCAATGATCGTGCAGTCTAACAAGGCAGCAAATTTGTAGCACTCTCCTACATGTCCATTACCTCTACGCCCTTCTTATTGTGGACCCCGAGAACCTTTAATTTTCCTCCCACAACTTTGTCAAGTGCCGTTATGCAAGGTGGCGTCACCGTCCAAACAAACACCAGCCACTTTAAGTAAGCGCCGAAGTGTTACTTCCTTGGGGATGTGAGGTATTAAACGCGTATTGTTTCTGCATCAACAGAATGTGTTTTGCTTTGAAACCCAAACGCAACCTCTTCGCTAGAGCTGGGCTTGATTTCCTTTAATTCTTGTCGTTCGCCGTTTTAGTTATTGAGTACATTATGTTTTGCAAGTTATTGCTTCGCCCTGAGTAAATGACATGCGTCTTCTATTCCACCGTAGCCCTACAATCCCTTAGGTTTTTACTGTTATCTCCTTCATTACAATCTGCCTGTCGCGATTTGCTTTTCGTTGACTTCTTGCTTATTTGAATTCACGAAGGTGTGAATGCCTGGAGGCACTCGTGTGTAGACTTCGACCATCAACTCTGTGGGGAATTGATAGCTTCATTCCGTGAAACGCATTTAACGGTCATTCGTATAGTTGAGTTTTATAGTGCGTTAAATTTACTGGTGAAATTCTTGCAGCGGTTGTGATTTTGAGTTGGTGTCAGTAAAAGCTGAAGTTAATCGCTTCTTCAAATGACGCGAATTACTACGTTTCTTTTTTCCTTCCACGACAAGGACTTCGACTATCTTGTGCTCATCCGACGATTTCACATTCGTGAAGATTCAAACAAGGCGTAAGCTATCGTTATAATCTTCTTCCAGATTATACGTTGACGTATTTCATTGCTTAATCCATGTTCCCTAACTCACGCATCTTTGTTACATACAGCCTCACGTCTGTGTTTAATGCCAGATTCCCCTTTTTATGGTTATTTTCCCCGTTCTCCCCACATGACTCACGCGTCTGACACTACATGTGTGCCCCAGTTTACCCCATAGCAGAATTTCCTCCAGAACCTGTTTTCCATTTACCACTGTTTATTGCTAGCCGCGTGTTCGTGTGAAAACGTGGATGCAGTTTTGTTGTGTGTTCCAACAAACCATTGACGCCAAATTATGCTCAAATGTTACCAATTAAAGGACACGAGGTCATCGCGTCGTCTTTGTTTTTTTGCGTAATACCTTCTGGCGTCATTCGCTTCACAAAGTAGGATTTTATGAAACAACCGTTTCCTGCTTTATTCTGCATTCTACGGGGCTAGTAGAACTCGTCTTCCTGAGAAGTTGATTTTTTTCTCGTCGATAATTCACTAATTCTAATTTAAACGTTAATTGACATTCAAGTATTTTGCCCTATGTTGATTCACCGCTCGTCCAGGTATGAGACGGACAGTGGCATCACTGTCTTTTGATGATGCCACTGCCGTAAGCGCGCAGCGTTCGCTATGCAGACTTAACTTTACAGGTGAAACTCACAGAACAACTCATAGAGCCATCGTCTCACAATCCCACTTTGCCGGCTCTCACTCATCTTCGCCTAACCGGCAGTCTCCACTGCTGTCCCTTGTCCTCAGAAAGATGGTTTGTGGAGTCTCAACCATCGCCTTTAACTCCCCCTACAGATCAAGTGTCGCCTCAGCAATTGCGAGAAATTAACCCATCAGTGTCATTTTTCCCTTACCTGGCACGCATTGCCTGTTCATGAATCTTTTCTCTTCAAGGTAAACAAAATTCGCGATCATATTGAGGCAGCCTCTAGAAGCAGTGACAACCACTTTCGCACCCACGTAAGCCCAACTAAGCGATCCTTCTGTAACACCCGAGTTACAGTCTCCGGGGAGGGTGATTCGTTTTTTGAGTACCTTCTCAAGGAGTGGCTTCGCACCAATAAGACTGATCGGAAGGCCCGAGAACTCTACGACAAGACATTGGACTCATTCGAGCGTTTAAACATCATCAGAACCAGTCGTGCTGGCAGCCTCTACATCACCGATTCACAACACGGTTCCCCCGGCCGAACCATGGCTCACTTGGCCTGTTTTTCAGGTAATTTACTCTTAATACCAACTTTTCACTAGACCACCATGCTTTCTTGCGGGACGTAAAATGGAGGTGTCGCATCCAAATCTGGCCATTCGACATTATCGCTAGCAATGATTTGGCAGCTGACAAGAATAGTGTGCGACTTTGTCTGAACTTTGCTCTCCGGATCACATTCATCCATTTTCCCTGTTTTCATGGATTACTTTCAGCCATGATGCTCCGCCACTCAACTGATGTCTCAGCTCCAAATTTATTCCTAGTTGTTTCCACACTTTATCTCACACATTCTTCCATATACTTAGAACTACTTCAAGTAGTAAATTTTCCCTGTGGTCATGTCGGTACTTGTCAAAGGTTCTGGGTACCGTTAATGATGATAGGACACCTCCATGGACCTACTGAGGTGACATTATAGTACCCCAATCAACTACAGATGTTGCAATGACTAAATCAAGCCCATTTCCTCATTACTGGCTGTTTCTGAGTACGTAAACTAGCGGTCTAACAATTTATGGTGTCACTTGTATGCTAACAGTAATGGAAAATGATGAGGTAGGCTATATTTATTGCTTGATCCGTGCGAATGTGCATTAAGCTACTAATGGTGCCGTCTTTCCCACCGGCAGGTGGTATGTTCGCCCTGGGCGCCTTGAGGAAGGACGCGGATGACGTGTGGTTCAATCGAGGGAGGCTGCTGACCGAGACCTGCCGCAAGTCCTACGCCCAGACAGAGAGCCACCTCGGTCCGGAGAATTTCCACTTCTCTGACCACATTGATGCAGTGGGCCTCACGAGTAGCGACAATTTATACCTTCTTCGTCCAGAAACCGTGGAATCCTACTTTTATCTGTGGCGCCTCACCCACAACACGACCTACCGCGATTACGCCTGGGATGTTGTCGAGGTATACTTGCCAATGTCTGCATTATTCGTTTTGTTGAGCGCACAATACAGGCCATACTTCTTGTAAGAATATGAATCGTAGATTAATGCCGGGGGAAGTATGAATTCACTTGAAATTTCCATTAGTGATCATGGCTCATGTAAATTTCTCTATTAAATATTGATTCGCATTAGCGACTTTTTCTTTATTGCTCTTTTTTTCTGATGTGGCGTCGACACCGACCCAGCTACTAATGCTATTGGCTACGATAATTTTGGATGTACCATAAATAGGGTACTTATAGGTACCCCCCAAAACCTAATGACATTGTAGCTGTCAAGGAAATAACTGTGGCAATGAAGTGGCATTTATTAACCTACGGTAAAAGTTCTTGTTAAGAAGCCGTAGTCCTGATCAAATAAGCACAACTGCTCTGTTACCTTTGCCGATTATTTCCCATTATATCGAGCCCATCGTTTTTTTTAATAAGATTCAGGACTAATTTTGTTAGCACATCAAAATTAGACTGTTATTCACAGTGTGTGCTCATTGTATAATTGCTTAATAACTGAGTCATGTACTATTGGTTGATGATTTCTAAGTGCGGTACTTTTGCTCACAGACTGGGCTTGTGCTAATTGTTATCGATCAGTATGGCTCTCGGATATGTACACTACGTTTCTTCCTCCCAAGTGTGGTTGTAGTTCCAGATTGTTGTGACTGTTGTTATCACTGCGGTTGTAAAGGTCCAGAAAATGTCTTAGGGTTGTTCCTCAGTTTTAGTAAATTTTATCAATAGTGATTAAATCACAATCTTTATGGTATGGATGTCCTTTACTGATTCGCTGATTTATCGTCTTTTACCCCTGCGCTTATCATCTCTTGGTGTTAGACACTTCCTAATTGGTCAATCACTTCCTTTTTTTGTGATTTCACAAAAGCTTTTTTTTATTTTGTTCAAGAATCAGCACAATGGTGAGCTAAATTATTTAATAGATTAAATACTCTTCCATCTATTCAGCAATATTACCTACGACGGACACCGAAATCGATTACCCAATTTGTGCCGTCTTTTCCCATAGGCTCTTGAAAAGCACTGTCGAGTACCTGGAGGTTTCTCTGGAATTAAGAATGTGAACAGCATTGACCCCTCCCATGACGACGTTCAGCAAAGCTATTTTCTGGCGGAGACTCTAAAATACCTCTACTTAATCTTTTGCGATGACTTGGTGTTGCCTCTGGACCGGTGGGTCTTCAATACAGAGGGCCATCCTTTTCCGATTATGGGAAATCCGACTGGATGAATTTGCTCGTTTTACTTTTTTTACTTTTCCTTTTTTCTTACGCGGAGCATGTATCCTTGATTTACCCAAATAAACCGTTTTACATGATTGTTTATTTTTCTGTTCCATGGGGTCCAACTTCCTTCTTTTGCGAATTATCGTGACTGAAAAATAGTCGTGGACACTAATGCCTTATCTTAGGTGACGTGAAGTTAGGCGCTAACTCAGCACAATCGATTCTAGGTTGTTCACAATCTTAACGTGGTAATGTTTAAAATTGAGTACTTCGTCACTCAACTCAAGCGGAGGACTGTTGCAAGTAGATGCATCCAGTAATGAATAGAAGCCTGTAAGCCCAAGCGAAAGCTGAACTTTCTGTCTGTCGCCCTGAAACGTAGGTCTGCTTCATAATTCACATTTCAAAGACAGTGTCGCTCGTTGGAAAGTATGCTAAGTCTTCGATGCTCAATGCCCCAACTTATCGCAATATTGATTTCACATTACTGCTAGATTGTGTGTGGCACTGCAAATAGGCGTACCATTGCTTATGTCTCCAAACTGTTTTTTTTAATATCCTAACTCGGTTTCCTATGATTCGCAGACAAATTAGAACCCGCTTATACACCACGAGAATATGTCACACCCACAATCCCAACTTTATGTAAATGCTAAACAAACTTGAGATTTTTGATTGAAAATCATGTAAATGATGGCCAAATGCTAATAGTTACCTCCCATTGGTACCTAACCTAGTGTACAATTATGCCACATTGATTAGTTGGATGACTTCATTTTGTGGGACTTAACACTTCGAACGCCTTCCTTTATGGTGTAAAGGTTCATCAATTTTGACTTGACAACTAGCATTGACCTTGCACTTCATTTGATGCGAGTGATTCAAAAAAATTAACCTTTTAGACTCCATAACTAATGCGAAGGAGGCGTGACAATTAGAAAAGTCAGTTGCATCCGAAAAATTTAGCTTATTTATATTGTCGATTTTAAGAACGGATTATTTTCATTAGCGATGTTACTACAAAATATTACTTGCACCTTGAGAAACCTTAGAATCGTCAAGGTTATTATGACATCCGCGATATTTGACAAAGAAGTGTACATTTAGAGTAATTGCTCCTTGCCACTGCAGATAATAGATTCGAAAAATTAAAATAAAACCGAAAATTATCCTGATTGTTTTCATATCAGTGTTCAATTAAAGCAAATTATCCTTTATATAACTGCGGAAAATGAGGAAATCATGTTATAAGTTAGGATTAACTGTCAGATTTTATCGTTTTAAGGTCTGCTTTCAGCATCGAAGCCTAAAAAACTGCAGTTTTTATTGATTTTGTAAATTTGTTCTTTTAGGCAATGACTGGATTAAAACTTGTCTTTGCCGGCCGTTCTTGAGACCAGCGTCGATTAAACAGCAATGCATCTTATAATCAAAATTAAACGTGGATGGGATTTCTACACTTATTCCAGGTACTTTAGTGTTTTCTAACTCAAAATATCTTATCGTATTGTGGCAAATCTCCCCTCCTCTTAAGAATGCATATAGGAAAATAGGAAATTCAATTTAATAACTAATTCTCTTTTTGATTTCATTAATATGAAAGGATTTGAGGAAATCATCTGGCACTTTCGGAAGCACTCCGAGGATATTGTTTTTAACATGTACCATATCTAGTTTACAGTGCTAGGAAATTAGACGCAATTAGCCGGAAAAAATGCAGAATTAAACTTAATTAATTGTATTGCACATGGAGCGATGTCATGTAGGTTAGTTCTGCTTATCATTTCACTAAAAGATTTTGAGTGCGGTGGGTGCTGCAATTTATGGAGAATAAATGCACAAATCAGCAAAACAATGCCTGATCATGGAATGTCACGTCAAACCAAACAAATATCTAAACTATGCTTTCTTGCATTTTTCAAATATGTTAGGGCTCGTTTAATTATTTAAATGTGAAACCCGCTGCTGTCTAATCTTGCTTCTATATATTAAAAAGATATTTTAACATTACTATGGATAAAAATTTCCTAATTTATAGAGTTGTAATTTATTCGTTTTTGAAGATTTGACTTTCGCCGACAACAATAGAGCTGAATGCTTAAAGTGGTTTATTTTCTGTTTAAAGATTTAAAATGATTGCATTTAGCAAAATGGAATGACATAATTTGCTAGTTTGGATCTCGAATCAACTGTGCGATGACGATGATGCTCTTTGAGCAATTCAGCGCGTTCTATTGATTTTTTGGATCTGATTCCGTGTGAGTATGGTCTGTTTGCACCGAGATGACGCAAAACTAAAAGTAGATGATTGTCCATCGCGGAATGTTTGCATTATTTGTTTGGCTGAGTTTCTGACAGACAGGCAGAAAAACATTTCAGAGCGCATGGAATATGGACAAAAATGTTTAGACAGTTTGAATCAAGCCCTAGATAAACCCTCAACTCGGAATAAAAATACACAGTTATTGATTACCGCGTTTGAAGTTCTATGGAGTAAGTAATACGTGTACTATAATTTCTAGACGCATATTTGGGTGAAACTAATGGCTATGCTACACTACTAATGAATAGTAATTTGGCTACTACGCGATAAAATGTATTTAGTTGCTTCTGCATTACTTCAGCACCTTAAAATAGACCTAAAAGTTATCAATTTAATTTTGTATCCAATAAAAGCAGAACTGGTAAGATTGTTTTTTTTTAAATCGCGTTAGGACACAGAAGAGGATCTTAACGGAAAGTGCAACGCTTTACTTCTTCTAGCGAATGTTATTGAAATGCATGAAATAGTTCCTGAGTCTGCTCCTCGTAAATTTTTAACTATCCTTTATTTCTGCTTAGGGATAATCTTTGAGAGCATTGTTCCTCTTTTGAGAAGGGGAAATCGGATCCTTCAAGGAAGTGTGACATATTGTCTCGGTGTTTTATTGAAAAACGTAGACAGTCTTGATTGTGATTTTACGTCAGACTGCTGTGACGTTCTGTTGGATTGCTTATGTGATCCTCACGAGGAAGTTCAGATTGTTGAAAATGCTTTTGGTAGGACTTTTTTACTCAACATCTCATTTCTAAGAATGTGTTCGGCTGATTCTAAAGTTTCCAGGGGCTGAGAATTGTATTGTTACAAACCCGAAATTCCCAAGAGCAATTCGGCTTTGTCTTAGTTCGCACCAAACAAATGTTTGCGTTACGGCACTTGTTTTTCTCACGTTACTGCTTTCAGGGCATCAAGGTGAAAGTATAGCTCTATTTTTGCACGAAATTGGTATTTTGGGTAAATTTGCCTTTCTTGTTCACTGCTTCTGTCAAGATTTTGTTTATGAATGTCTCTCAAAGAAACCAGCGGTTAAAATGTAAGACACATTATTTCAATCTTTTTATCTTAGAGCTTCGTTATCATTCCTGAAATTGATGACAAGTTCCAGTCTCTTCATGTCGACAAGTGCCTTGCCATTCAGTAGCCTTACTAATTTTGCGATCACTCCATACGCTAGCTATAGAAAAGATCCTCAATGCAGCGATTGATAAAAATGCTGAACGGACATTTCAAAGGATGTCTGTGACTGTTCTGGAGCATATATTTAGGATGTATGCGTTCTTTATGTTCAATGTTTAACTTTTTTAAGGTATACTGGGAGTGTTGATCTCTTCTTCAATCTAACAACCGTTGAGAATTTCTTCAATTTGTTAGAAGATGAGTTCTCCGACCAGAATTCTAGTTTTAATGAAGTTTCAGAATGCCTCCTTAGCTTTTTACGGTAACGTAGCAATAAAGTTTTACGTCTGCCAGATCGAAGCAACTCTGTAGACCCTTCCCACTGCAGCTGTTCAATCGCTGTTTAGTAGCCTACGGCGAACGGCTTAGGCAAACCCTAAGTGATATATTGTCCACTTTGGAAAATAATCGCGAAGTAATTCCATTTTTGGGCTTTGCTTCGAGTCAGATGCAGCGGAAAATCGAAAGCGATTTGGCAAAATCGCTTTTCTTGGCAATAGATACACAGCTGCACCTTGGAGAGTACGTCCACTTTATTTGTGTCAACATTACAGTCTCCTACTCTTTTTGACTTCAGATTTAGCTGAAAGTGCATCGAATGAAGTAATGCTTTCTAATTATAATAAGGTTCTTATTGACCTCTATTTTTCACTTCCACTGGGACTTATCTGGGTAGGAGTGCTTTTATGCATTACTTGATATTCTCTCTGTAGAAGTTTTTCTGTCGTGAAAGAGCTCCAGCTGCAATTTTGCAAAGGACGCTTATACTCACCAGAAAAATAATTAAAAAAGGCTTCCCTAATGCGAAATTAATTGAATGTGGTGCTGCCTGCTGGAGCAAAGCTTTCTCCTACCCAAAGGTTCTTGTTGATCCTAAAGTTCTTCTGGTATTCAAGTCAATTGCACCTTTAATTCTTGACACCCTTCTTCGCGCTAAATGCATTAAAAACCTTCCAGAAGATCAGTATGTAAGCGACAGGTACGCTGGGCCTCAACGCTTTTTCCATGTGCCTAGCTCTTTTGATCCGAATACGTTTTCGCTGAGTTTGATGCAGCTTACCGCCTATGTCCTTGGCACCGGGAGTGTAAGTTTTTCATTGAATGCGCTGGACTGCTCCGATGACCCATGTGCTCCCGACTATGAAGCATTTTGGAATTCTGTGTTTGGGGGTATTTATTTGGTGCCTGGTAAGTTTACATTTATATCTTTGCTCAAAGCCAGGCTTCAAACACCAAAGAGCAAGACAAATTTTGAATTCTTCCTTTGTGTGTTCACGTCAGCACACTACTCACAATACGTCTTTTTATTTGCAATAGTATATATTATATTTTAGGCGGTACCACAGAAACCATTTGTAAACTTCTGAAGGACTTATGTCGTCAAACAGTTGATGATCCAAACACGGACGCAGGAATACTGTTTCCGGCTGTTTTAGTTGTTGCAACGTCACTCATTAACTGCTCTGATTCATTGCTTATGCAAGCCAATGAATCAGAGTTCTACGTTGTCCGGGAAAGGTGATTTAAACATTTTCGCGGAAAATATTGATTTTATTTAAGAGACAAGAAATGTGGTCCTTCATTGGACTGATGTTTGCAACTTGATTTTTCACAGAACCATGGAAATTCTTCCCGATTTATGTCAGTGTATTCTTCGGGCGGGTGTACGGCGTTTTGAACAGTTGTCATCGGTTTTTTCCGTTGAATGTCTGGCCACATTTGCTGTAAATCCGACTTTTATCAACTCGAGTTTTCTTAGGTCGCAAAACTTACTGGATTACAACTGACGCCTGTCTTTATTCAAGGTAGTTCTATTTTATCCTCTTCTATCAGTTTGTAGCTTCGTGTGTGATCATTGAAGCTCTTATCCCACGGCTATCACCATTCCAAACATCCCTGTTGCTAAATATTCAAGGTTTCCCTGACCTTTTGCTGTTGGGTGAACCAGCTTGGATTTCTCTGGCTCAAAAGATGGCAAGTTAGCTGTGCAGATTCTTTTTGTCTTCATCGAGTTGTGTTAATCGAGGTCATGGGTCGTTTACTTTAGATTCTTCAGTGTCACTCGCACGAAAAGTTGTTGGAGTTGGGCCTAATTGAACGACTTCCAGTCAACTATGAGCTACTGTCACTTGTCTGGGTAGGTGCATTGGTAGTCTCATGTTAAAACTGCCCTTTATAGGCAATAAGTATTTAATTGGTTTATTCGTCTTGCAGTCTGTTTGGTTCCCTCTACTCCGTAACCTTGAAAATCAGGCACTGGTTCGACGACTCAGTAAAACCTTCGAGAATGGATGCAATCAATTAGAGGCAAGTTAAGACTGGCTGTGCGAGTCACTCTAATATTTTCAGACCTTTTTGCTATTGTTTGTAATTGTTACATGATGTTTGTGTTAACTAGCACCCGAACTTCATAATGTAGCTAATGTTATCTCTTTTATTCTCCTTGTGTAAGCTAGTATAAAGGGTTTCAGTGGTGAGTTTTATTCACTAACCACCTCCATACAGAAATAGCCATGCATTATTAGAAGTGTAGTTAAAGCTAAGAGTATCGGAATTTTCTAGCCAATTTGTTATTAGGATTTTGTCGCTGCAATCTAAAACGTCAGATGGTAACAATACCTTAGCAATAAGACTGACAAACATATGTCTTGAATTATTTCCTTTGGAATTTTGCGAAAAATCACTTTAGCAAGCTCGATCGTCTCTGGAGGGGGGCAGCACATCTCATGAGGTCGACGAATATCCGTCTGTGGTTGGAGCTGAACGCCTTGGGATATTCGTGGCGGAGCAGTTCGTTTCACTTCCCATTAAATTGGAGGTCCCAGCAAGCACTCTATTCTTCCAATCTGGTGTGTCCTTTTTTACTACCAATTATCGTTTTTGTAAAACGTTTCGCTGTCCTTCTGTTAATTCATGACTAACATCTAACCATGACACCTAAAAACTTGCAAAGTTTGGTTACTGTTAGCAAGTAAACCAACTGAATTTGCGTAGAAGACGACAGTCCTTAAGTTGCTATTGTGTTTCTGACAAAGGGTCCTTTGGAGCACCTGTTTTGTGTTTTCGGTTGTGGGTATATTATTTGGTTCCATATAAGTAAGTAAGTATTCCACCATTGCATAGGTGCTCTGAATGACTGGGCTTATCACTCTCCTGTAACTTGAGAATGGTACATTGACAAGTGAGGGACGTTGTTTTTCAGTAAAATTCGCCACAACAATAAGTGATCCAATGTCGTCCATTTAACGTTACCATCCAAACCGAAGATCATAAACTATAGTGCGTATCTAATGTGCTTAATTTTCAGCAATTTCTGCTTCCGCTGTTCAGTCAGTCCGATTATTTTGGGTGAAGTACAGGCTCTCATTTTTAGTTGCTGGTCTGTCGTAGCATTTGGCTGCTGAACTTTTCTTTTCGATATTTTGCACCAGAGGAACCTGTTGGAAGTGTTTCCTGTTAAATGTTTCCGGTAATGTAGAAGCTTCCATGCTATCTTGTCTAGGTTTCAGGGAGTGAGACATGTGTAAAATGTAAGGTGTACGCGATCGCGCCCCAAACTGTGATTTCATTTAACTTCCACACCATCCACTGTAACTATTAATGTAAGTTCTAGCTTGCTTTATATAAAAAATTATCTTTATGCTTTTGTAGATGCATTCCGCGTAAATTTCCTTCGGATGCTCACCCTGGTTGCTCGTCTAGACAGGGTTTTCCTTAATCGCAAGTGCTTACAGCGATTTGTCGAAACAGGTGCGTCTATCATGACTACTGATAAGTGTTTAATATTGCATTGTGCAAAACGCAGTCATGGCAATTTACTGGTAGATGTTGAACTTCTTGTGTTCATTCTTACTTTAAACGGGCACTTGGCAACTTCCGCCAGAAAATGGAAAATCACTCACCCGATTATCGTAGTTTGGTCTCTTCATGTTAAATGTTTGCATATTTTTTTTAATATAAATTCTCGGCATTATTGAAGTATTTGGAGTGCCAGCAGAAAGTGAACAGAACTTTAATACTCTTGGGTAAGACTTTTTTTCACGGAGTGTTTCTAGTGGAAGTTAGTCCGTCACAGGACCGATGGTTTTACTGATGGCAAACGATTGTGGTGCTGTTGTGGTCGCACCTGTACACTATTTAGTGGGAACGGTTAGGAACTCATTTTGAGGATAACCATTGCTCCGGTCACAATGACTCAGGTGCTACGCGATAGCTCACAGCATGAGCCGGAGTGCATACATAAAAGTGCAAAAACAAGTCCAGAAAGTTATTGAAGCGATTGCAATTTGATGAACGAAAAGCGGTTTAATTGAGTGCATGATCAGCCGGTGGTGTTGCAAATAATTTTCACTGTGCTATGGAAATTCTTTTAATATACCTTTAGGTTTAGGCATTATAAATATGGATGAAATAAATGGAACGATGTTGTGGATGAGAAAGTATTCTTTTTACCCTTTAAAATATGTGCGTAAAAGTTTGCTGCTTAATCTTTATATTAAAATGCGAGAGCAATTTGAAATCAGGCAATTATGCTACGGTCTTATCTGTTACCGAAGCAGTAAGTGTCACGCAAAATCACATTTTTTCTAAGAGTGGAATTTGTTTTATGCACGTCCTTCCCTTTTAATTCATGCTTAGTTCACTGTATAACTTGGAACTGAAACATGAGTTTGCTTCGCAGTTGTTAAATTATTTGTTTGGTTTTTAATCTTGTGTGAATTTAAACCCATGTCAGTGTTTGCATTTACCGCCTCTCCAATTGTAACGTAGCGTCCGCAGTTCTATAAAAAAACGTCAACGATACCGTACACCAGACACCAAATATTATTGGCACCAAACGGTGTATGGAGAAAGGTCGAAAGTTTTGCTTGATGCTTGAGATTCCCTGGTGCCTGCTGAAGAGTTTTGTTGACTCCTGAAAAAGCCATCGTCCTCTAGCGTGTCAATTTCCTTCCGTAAACTGTACATAGTAATTACGCAGAACTGTGTTTATCACTAAATCTGTGCTGGTCAGTATATACATGTCTGTGTCCCTCCAACTGCTAAAAACGATAACCAAATTAGCCGCCATCGCAAACACTAAGCCTCGTCTCTCTTGATTACGATTTTCAGTCAGAATTGCAAATGTTCTGCAGGTGACCAGTTTGTTATTATAAAGTATCGAATGCCGAGATCTCCGTCCTTGTCACATCACCCACGGCGACTTACTTTTTAGTGGTTTCTCTCTTGACGGATTCCAGATGTGGAGCCACTGGTGATCTCATTTGTCTTCTGCAGCTTCTCAACACGAGCCTCCTGATGGCTGATGAAATTGCTCTAAATCAAGGTAAGACAAATTTGGTGCACATTATTCCCATCTATGCTTGTTTGGGTTGCAGTTGGGAATTCAGGTAAGAAGCGAAATACTTAGACAGAAATATAATCTCAAAAAATATTCTGAAGTTGTGGCCGAGGGGATAAAACCTTGAACGATGAAGCAACCCAGGTTAGCTGATTACACAGAAATACCTAATATCTCAGTCGGACAAGTTTACGACATTATCCAGCGTCTTCAACTGTTTTTCCAATAAGGCAAGGTTTTGAAAAGATTGCATGCAAATTTTCAGAACACCGAACCAGACGTCTGAGATAAATGACCTCTCAGAATAGCGGAGTTTACGATGGCAACTGTTAAAAAGCACATTTGGCACTGCATTTTATGCAAATTCCAACAAGGAAAAAAGACTCCTTCTAGAGTACTTGAATCAATTTGCAGTGTTCTTGGTGCCGACGCTGTGTCCTATGAAACTCGCAGTTATAGATATAAACGTTTAAAAGTGGGAATTCCGATCTTGGTGACCAGCCACTGCCCGGACAGCCTCGAAAGTTTGAAGGTGCGGAATCGTATGCTCAACTGGATGAAGACTCAACGCAAACGCAACAAGAGCTTGCAGCTCAGTTAGGAGTCATCCAAACAGCGTTTGCACCAAATTCAAAAGGCTGGAAGTTGGGTGCCACATGTGTCGACCGCCCACCACCTAGGTTAAAGTATGAACGCATGCCTTTCACTGCCCGTGAAAATTGTAACGTGTGATGAAAACTATATTTTTTTAAGAGAATCCCAAATGTAAAGATTCGTGAGTAGACCCCGGGCAACCCAGTATCTTGACGCCGAAACAGGACACTCATTTGAAGACCGTTTTTCTATGTATCTGGTTGGACATGCAGGGTGTACCCTATTAATAACTCCTGGTAAATGGTCAGACGGTGACTGCGAAACACCACAGCCGACAATTGAACAAATTGAGCGAAGAGGCCAGAGATCAGAAAAGTCCATTTATTGGGCAAGGAAGCAGGCAAGTCTTGCTGCCGTATGTCAACGCTCGACCTCTTGAACTTTGGATGGGAAGTTCTCCCACACGCAACATATTCACCAGACTTGGCTGCATCCGACAACCGCTTATTCCGGTCTATGCAGCAGCATGCCTTGGTGGAAAAAACAGTTCAAGATTCTGGACGATGTCGTAAACTTGTCGATGACTTGATTTCTTCGAAGCTCGCAAGTTTCTTTCGCGACGGCACCTGTACTTTACCTGATGGATGGCGTAGGGTCATGGAAAACGACGGGCTGTATTTCCAAGATAAAGGCTGATGTTCTCTCTCTGTTTATCGCATGTAAATTGTTCAAAAAATCGGCAAAAATTAAGACACAATCAGTAAAAATCGCAGTAAAAGTATGAAGTATTTCTAAAGCGTACTATGTCATTGAGATTTGATCCAACTTAAAGAACTTTTAACCGCGGTGTTAGCTAGCACATTTCCCTTTTAGTGGCTCTTTACATTGCCGAGCAGCTTCAGTCCTCCCAGTCTTCCTGGATGTACGTCCAGTGTTCGTCAGTGAGGTCTCGCATGATGGAATCCACGGGGCATCTCCTCTTCGAGGAGATCTGTGTTCTCGGTACTCTCCTAGTGTTTGGAGGGGGTTCAAATAGCTTGTACACAATCATTACCCCATTCAAAACAGGGGATGACATTGAGGCTTACTGTGTAAGTCGGAACCACGCTAATGATTCGCTTACAGTAGGGGGGATGACCTCACTTTTTGCCTGCTAACCCTCAGACAAAACAAAGGCGAAACACAATTCGTCTGGGCAAATACAAACAGAAATGTCCTGCCAAATGATACGTGTAGTTTTGAACGGTGTATCGCTTCAAGTAAGCGATCAGTTGTCTGACAATCTGTCATGACTGCAACTTGCGGGCCACAAGCATGCATCCGAGGTTAGGGCTTCAATAAATATCTACTGCATCCTCGTCACCTCTCAGCAGCCAATGTTGGAACACTTTGTCCAGGTGTAAGACGGCTTGATTTACTGATTCTGACCATGCGAAATTGGAAATATAAGTCGAACTAATGACGAGTATTCTATATATGTTCTGGTACTCTTCCGATTTAGTTCTTATGATTGGAGTCGTTTAGTATTTTTAGTCACGGTAATGAAGCCTCCCTTTCCATTTTCGGAGGTTACTGAATAGGGTCGTGTCAAGGTAAGAAGGTTAGCTCGAGCATTTAGAACCTTGGCATTAAGTGTCAGTGCTCTCAACGTAGAATGCATCTTGACTTGGATGTAAACCCAGGCATAGTGAATAGTGGCAGCTGGGAAGCAGAATGAACATGCATGAATGTTGTTCGCTTATTCGGAAACTTTAAGCCACCAAAATAATAACACTACTAATACAATAAACGG